CATACTGGGTAATGTTCTCTAACACGTTTTGAAAGGACGCGCATACAACGACCTATATGCCCAGTTTCGCACGAGCAGGTGAACTGGTATATACACATTGAATTGGTCATATGCGAGAGTTTGTCCTTCGCGTTGTTTCGAAGTGTTGGATGGCTAGAGAATGTCACTCTTAGTGTTGCTGCAGGGAATGTCTTCTTTAAATAGCTGGATATTCTCCTCTTCAGGATATCGGCTGCCAAATCTCTCCTGAAATTCAGATTCAGATAAGAGTTTTCTTTGGCGCTGAATCGCAATCTTCCCTTTTTGGTTCAGGTTTCATGTTCTTTTCGACAAAACGTGTTGGGTAACCATCTCATATCTTAATCCTGTGCAGTTTTTTGTGTCTCTAGGGCTCTTGTAATCTATATTCACACCTCCTAACTCCCACCTCAAGTTAAAAATTATTATTTCAATTTTGTTTCCATGCTCATTTTTACACATTTGTCATCCGTTCTAATCCTGTGTGATTTTGTTTCTAAACCTCTCGTAAACCATACCTAGTTGAAAATAATTGTCACCTTTTATTCGCCGTTGTAATAATGTGGAATCAAACAAGAATTGTCTCCATGTAGAATTATGTATTTAAATGCGATTGTACAGCTTTTGAAAATGAAATCGCCGAAAAGATATCTTTGCTGAACTTCGTCTTGTCTTCTTTCCAAATTCAGTGTACTCAGTCGACCTATTTTTCACACGAAACCAAAGTTCCATGTTTGAGAGATACAGTTACTATTGACAGCATGAATATTCAAAGTGCAGAGCGTTTTTTGGATGAAGCATTTAAAATATCTCAAAGCCGACTATGATAACAAGAGATACATGCATTACTCGGTATCTCAAGTGTTTATCTTGGCTATCATGCAACCATTATTTTTACTCTCAAAGGTTCTCACTGCTTATCTCAGCATTACTTCCATTGCTGTTCACTGTATCATTTTTGTGAAACGACCATGCTGACCGACTAGAACTCAGGAATACGCCGCTGATCAATACAAACTTATTCAAAGCAAGTATATTAGAGTACACCAACACATATCACCATGAGAATATGATTACCAGACAGTATGTTGTATCCGCATATAATTCCTCAAAATTACTAGCCTACAACTGTTATCATTCAGAATCAGGTACTGATCTTCACCCTTTAAGTCGACTGATTAATCTGAAGGTACGCTGTCGATCATCGATGCTATTCACCACGCTGTGTTAAGTTTAGTTGTTCAACCACACACTGTGGCTTGCTAAGCAGACATCACCATTCTACATTTCTGATCCCGAAGTGTATCTCGTATTCAAGACGATCAATATGAAACAAACTAACTCTTGAAACTTAATCTGGTGCTCACTAGTGACTTATGACAGGACTAAGTTGCCTAGAGTTCCCGTGAGAAATCACTGCTAGTAGGGCCACCGTTTCATCTGTGAGGATAAATGCTGGTAGATGACATTGGCTGGGGGTCGCGCTAAAATCGCTAGTTGATAGAAGTTAGAATTCACAGGATATTAGATTCCGTCCAGCCCAAGTGCTGCTGCTGCTGCTGGATTCAACATAGAACTTGGCACCGAAGTGCAGCAGTTCGAGTTGCCACGTTCCAAATAGCACACAAAGGTAGACAGGAAAATGAGAGAATAGAATCAATAGAATTTAGATAAGTATAAGAGTGAAACAGAATGAGTAATGGTAGAAAGGAATATGAAAGATTACAGAGACTGAATACATCTGCGCCATTGACAACGATTTCGAGCCATGTCACCTATTGTCTCCAGCCATTGATTCTTAGAGTCCCGAGGGCCCCAACCCGGAAGTCTGCATCTCCCTACCTGACTCAGTTTAACTGTCAGGGATTTCATGGACTGATGCCATGTTTTTGTTTGGCCACCACTTACTCTTTTCCAACCTGAACCTATATCAGCTAGCAATGCCCGTCGGGGTGGAGAGGGCGATGGTTAGGCATTCGCACCACGTCACCTAGTCATCTCAATCTATGTACCTTCATAGTCTCGTCGATTGATTTTCCCTCTTTGCATACCCAACACTCTACGCCTAACGTCAACATTACTTACCTTATTATACCACCTAACGCGAGAAAGAGATCGTAAACATCTGTGGTCAAAAACAGACAATCTCTTCATGTCTTCCGCTCTCAATGGCCACGTCTCACCACCATAGAGAAGGACGGAGCGAACTGATGAGCAGTATACACGTCCCTTGGTTGACGGCCGGATGTCACGCCTACGCCAGAGACGGTGTAAGTTAGCGAAAGCAGCCCGAGCTTTTTGGATCCATGCTGAGATTTCGTCACCAATCAATCCGTTGGTGCTGATACAACTTCCCAAATAGGTGAAGTGGTCAACATGTTCTATCACTTCACTCCCTATCACTAAGCTAGGAGTTGACGTAGTCCAGTCCTGTAGCAGCATCTTACACTTTACAGGGGCGAATCGCATGCCAAACATACGAAGATTGCTGCTCAAGGTGTTCAGAAGACTCTGCATTTTGTCAGCGTCCTCCCCTAACAGGACTATGTCGTCTGCGTATTCTAAGTCTATAAGACTATTCCCTGGTAACAAGTCGATTCCTAAGTCGTTAAGTTCAGTTAAGGATACTTCCATTAGCATATCTATGATGAAGTTAAACAGAAAAGGGGAAAGTGGACATCCTTGACGGACACCACTGGTTGTTATCAATTCAGATGACAATTCCCCATAAGCCCTTACATAGCTACGTGAGTTTGAGTAGAGTGCCTTGATTAGTGCAATGTACTTTCTTGGCACTCCCTTCATAGTCAAACATTGCCATAGTACCTCTCGATCCACGGAGTCGAAGGCCGCCTTCAAGTCAAGAAATATGGCAATTGTTGGACGCCTAAAAGTGTGTCTATGTTCTAGGATCTGTCGGAGAGTGAAGATATGATCTATGCACCCTCTACCTGGCCTAAAGCCTGCTTGATTTTCCCTCGTTTGTTCCTCCCGAGTTCGGCTTAGTCTGTGCATGATTACTGAGCCTAGGATTTTAGAGACTATGCTCGTGAGGCTGATCCCCCTATGATTGTCACATGAGGACTTGTCTCTCTTCTTGAATATTGGTATAATAAGTGACTTACCCCAGTCTGATGGAACCGTCTCTGATTCCCAGACGTTACCTAGTACCTGAGTTAAACTATATACTAGTATGTCACCCCTATATTTAAACACCTCCGGAATAATTCAGTCGGGTACTGCCGCCTTGCCTCGTTTCAAATTACAGATAGCTTTTGTGACCTCACTTACAGACGGCGAGCCAGTGTCTATATCCCATCCGGGTGTGTGCTGGATGGTGGGGAGGCTCAGTGTGGCTGAATGGTCAATGAGTATGGCCTCGTAATCTCAAGGTTCAAATCTCAAAGCCCGGTGGCGTCATGGGTGCAGACTATTCAAGAGTTCCAAATCAGGATAAAATGTTAGTCCAGTACATCTGGGTTTCCAATAATTCCCTCACTTATATCATTCTGTGATCCAATTCCATAAAGATGAATTGGCTCATGAAGCGTTCCCTGGTTTAAGTAGAACAAGTACTTCAAGAGCTGAAGAATGCTTACTTGCGCCCACATAAAGCATTTCCTGCATATCCACCGACATCACTCATCCTATAAAATCAATTCATTCTCTCGTGGACCTAGGTGGCCTGAGTTCACCAAATGCTCGAGAATTGAGCTAGTAATTGTCTTGCATTGTCCCTTTGTTAACCATGCCGGATGATGTTCAGAGATGCGTTTGAAAAGTGTGCGCCTTGTGCGGCCAATACAGCTGGCTCCATATGAGCAGGTGAATTTATAAACACACATTGAGGTGGCCTAAAGCGGCAGTTTATCCTTCACACATCCATTGATTATTTGTTGGCTGTAGAAATTGATACGTATCCATGGATGTTACTTCCCTTTTCACCAATGTTCCTCTCACTGAAACTATTTGCTTTATATGCAAATTCATTGAGGATAATAATGTGGACGTGTGTGTTCCGATCCACTACTTAAAGGAACTACTATTGAGGTGCACTTTAAATGTCCATTTCAAGTTCAACAACACGCTTTATAGACAAAGAGATGGAGTGGCAATGGGGTCACCATTAGGTCCTTTACTTGCAGACTGCTTCTTGGCAAGCCTGGAGAATAGTATTTTACGGCCCACTATCGACAGTTTCCATTTGTACCAAAGATACATGGATGATACTTTCATCATATGTGACGACAATACCGACATCGAGTTGATAACTAAAGAGTTAAACAGCTGTCATCATGCCATCCAGTTCACGTCGGAATCAGAAATGAACTCGGAATTCCATTTTCTGGTTGTTCTTCTAAAAAGGAGATCTGATGGTTCTTTTCAAAGATCGATCTACACGAAACCAACATGGAATGGTCAGTACACAAATTTTCATAGCTGGGTCCCTTTGAGAAGAAAGAGAAATCTGATTCATTCCTTATCCTCAAGAATAAGGAGGATATGTTCCAGTGATACAATCGAGGGGGAACTGGGTTGATTCAGACAAGTCCTTATAGAGAATGGATATGCTCCAAGATTTATCCAAAAAAACATAAAGTTTAGGGAAAAGCCTGAAAGAACTCAGCTGGTGCCGAAGAAATTGCTATTAATGAGTGTTGAATTTAAAGGTGATACCACAGCTGAGATCCTGAAGAATCGCTTATGCAGATTACTGAGGAAAGCTTTCTTTATGGCTGAGCTACGTATCAATTTCTACAGCAGACAGTGTGAAGGATAAACTGCTGCTTTGGGCGACCTCAATGTGTGTTTATAAATTCACCTGCTCGTATGGAGCTAGTTATATTGGCCGCACAAAGCGCACACTTTTCAATTCATTCTAATAAATAGCCTAGACTCTAAAGGAGGTATTTATTTGCTATGATATAAGCACTAATCAGTGGAAAGTGGAAAGGATTACAATAATAAAATGCAAAGGTTAATTAAGTACGTGAAGGATTTTCAATTTTCTCTAATAGTTCATAAAACACTTGTAGTTTTGCTGCAATTCTACTTGTTTTATATAATGTATACCAATAGGCTTTAGCAAATTTTTCAGACAATATAATTTCCTTTTTGACTGAATGTATTGTTTCATTTTGTCTTAAATGCTTTGTTATAATAATCTCTAATACACTATATTCAAGTATTAATTCACGTGTCCATAATTTAATTTTATAATGAATATTATCTATGAATTCAGTAGTATTTGTAATATTCTTTAGTTCACTTAACCATTGAACATTTGAACACTGTTCAAATTCATAATGTAAACTACCTTTATAGTGTTCAAATTCAACTTCATATTTTATATCACAATTTTCATATTCTTTTTTAATCATATAATCTGTTATATAAAGTAAGGGATATTTTTCAGATAAATGCTTTGATATATTATAAAAATTATTTGATATAAATAAATAAGTTTCAATGGCTAATTTTTCCTCTGGATTTGTAATAATATCAGCAATATTTTTAAGCACTGTTTCATGCTTTAAACATCGTAACACATAATATCGATTGCCTCTAATCGGTGGATGAATGAAATAATCTGTATTGTATAAGATTTTATATGAAATGAAATGATAACCAATTTTTCTGTAAAATTGTTTATCAGTTCCTCCTCTTAAATCTTGCATAGTTATATTTACTTTTTGTTGAATTAAATAAATGTCTACTTGTGATAAGTAAATATCAGTGGAAGTTGGACAATCACCAAGTGTTAGATTAACTACAGGCTGTATATTACAACTGGATAACTTTTCAATACACTTGATAGGTATATTAATATATAATAACGAGACCCATGTAAAATTGACTCGATCATAGTGACTTAATTTATTCTTTGCAAAAGCTATCAATGTGTATAAATCCTCTTGTTTATTATTATTATTAATTATTTCTTCTTTATCTTCAATATATAATTGATGCATTAAACGCATGAATTGTGTTTTATGAATAAATTCACCACAATGCTTGTAAAATTTCTCATTAATCCATAATTTTTTACATTCACATATATTAGAACCACGAAAACAACAAGGTGTTTTAGAATTTCGAGTTTCTTGGAGTTCAGTTAACTTTATAAAAGTGATTAGGGATAAGAGAATTGAAATATTCAGGGAAATATAATAATATCTTGACTTTATCTGCATTACCCATACACAAACGCCCACACTCTCTCTGTCTCTGCTTCACACAATACATACTATATAATCGAGTGGACTGAACAAGTTAGTTTTTATTTCAATAAAAATTAATCGAAGAATATTGATTTTTATACGGTGACAATAATAATAATAATGATATATTATATTTGTGAAAGCAGATTTGATGTTGTATTTGATAAATGCTTAAGATTATTTAGACTATGGGTTTTTCTGTAGGGATTTTGCCACGGACACAGGCATTGATTGGTTACAGGTTTGAATGGGCTGTTTTGTCGAGTCCCATTGGATGAATGATCTACGAGCTTGAATTGTAATCAGTAGATCCTGAGTTCAGTCTCCTGTGACTCCTTATTGGGGAGGAGTCGCGAACTGGGAAGAAACAGCTGTCCAGGACTCCTTGGTTTTCCAATAGTTCACTAACTGATGTCAGTTCTGTGATCAAATGTGTAATCTTTAAATATCTCTGTAGTCAAACCACTAGGTACTCATGTTGTGCATCACTTCAGATTAGAGGCAGCTTTTATAACCTCAACCATAGTTGGATAACCGATATTTTACTTCACATTGAAATTGAGTATGCACGTTGGGTCACTGTAGTATAGTTGTTAACCTCACTATAAAGTGTTCTTCCCAGTAGAACACTTCTTGTCTTGAAAGTTATTGAAGCTTCACACCTCTATGAGATAGTTTCACTCACCATAATTTTCTTGAGGCCCATCTCTTTCACAATCCAAAACATTTGGAGGCCTTACTTGCTGCTAATGTCATTTCCACTGTTTTGCTTTGTTTACCACTTGCTGTTAGTGATTGTTGCATAGGCTTTTAATCAACATTTTCTTTGTATGTCCAAAACTTACTGGATTTCCCGTCCTTCCCTCGGTTACTTTAGTTGAGACCACATGACTCCACTGGCTTTCATTAAACTTTCGTCACAGAAACTCACCTCTCTACATCTGACTGACTGCGTGTAGTATCGTTGCTGTCACATAAATGTTTATCTAACTTCTTTCCGAATTGGAAACATTTATTTCCCGATACGAATTTAAAACAAGCAGTAAAGGTTAATAAAGCAGGATTTAATGAATTCATCAAATTTCGGTAGAACTCGTCAACTGAATACTCTACATACACGGATATATATACTTTTGAAATTACATTGGGAGATATAGGACTGGTAAGTTAACAAACCACATTGAATTGGTCATGCAGAAAGACAGGTGCGAATGTTTTTCCAGATCATGTTCAATTAGATAAGAGGAGAGAGAGTATGGGAGATCAAAATTAAGATAAATTGCATTACGCTTCAATTACATCACTTAGATAAACAATTAGACATTAGAGAATTTAACAAGAATTGCAACCAGAGGGATGTCAATAGTAATAGTTATAATAACAATAATAATAGTAGTGTTGAAGTGAGTTAAGATAATGCTACTGATGAAGGATAGTTTTAAATGAGTCAAGAATAATAATAATGAGAATTATAATAATAAGAGGTAGAATTATAAGTAAAACGTATTACCATGGTAGATTCAGAGTCACGACCATCTCCTTTTGTACACAGAGACCTGGTTTGTAAACTCGAATTGCACAAGCCTCTGCAATTGCAAGCATCTTCTTGTTTCTTTGTCTGCTGACAATAGTGAATGACTTGACCGCTTCGATATCATGTCCGTAATCCACAAGATGCTTTGTTATTGAGGATTTTGGCGCTTTGGACTCAGCTGTTTTCAACCATTTTGGCAAATGCTCCGAATAATAAATGTCATGTTTCCATTGTAAAAATGAACATGTTAGAGCATCACAACTACGTATCCTTTACTTGTGTTCATTTCCTGATGTAAGCATGTATGGAGCAATGAATAGCCATGCAATTTTTAACCGACCTTCTATATCGGCAACTTATGGCATCTTATTGCATATCACCCGAAACTTATATACTTCATCTCCTAAATACAATCACTACTTCTTTAAGTATAACCTAGTTAAACCAAGCTAAAATTGATCTAAATATGAAGATTCCTGAATTCTTCCAATTCCCCTCTGTTCACATGAATTTTATCTACAAGTGATGTATTGCTTCATTGCTTTCATATATTTTAACAATTAATAGTTAGACACTGATATTTTGCAAGTATCAGTAAAAATTTACGCTTGTTGAATGCAACTAAACTTTCACTGTAGAACCTTGCACAAAAGTACAGCACAGGATTTAGTAAAGAGATCCCTTTCTGTAACCTCACTTCAAAACTGTATGGTGTTTATATATGCAATGCTGATTGACAAGAGAGTAAACACGTTTGAAAAATCGGGGATATTCTTACGTAATCAAGAGGGTTAACAACTAATTAGTTGAACGATGAATAATCGTTTAGAAACAGTTGATAAGAGACAAGATAACAAAAGATTGAAAATGAGTTGCAAAAAAATATAAAACGAACTACATACACTTTATCACACACTTACTCGGGAGAACGGAGAAGGAAGGAAGTACTAAGGCCATGGTTGTAAAAGAGGATGGATGAAACGTTTATGAACACAATGTTCAGGTTTATCCTTAAGGATTGCTAAGAATTCAGCTGCCTGAGGATATAGGAGAAATCTTTCGGAATGACTTGATCGTACCTTATATATGATAATGAAAGGAGTCTATGCTGATGCTACATGACCAGAAGTGACATTATGTTCAAGAATTCAGCTGTTGACTGTTCTGTGTTCTCTTTTTGATAACCATGCTGGTAAGTGTTCATGGGAACGTCTAGACAATGTCCTGCTGGTATGGCCTCAGTGGGTTCTTGTCCTTGATGATTGGTGAACAAGAGCATGTGTAGAGAAGGTTAAGCGTCGAGATGAAGCAAAGAATGGTTTTTTGAATTACTCACTGATTGTATCTCCATTGAATTTCATTTATACAACTAGTTATTTCTTCGGAACATCCAGGTTTTGAGGAGTATCAGTCTTTCGCTTTAGATGTTATGGATGAAGGAGGTCAGATATCTACTTTCGATTATAGTTTTTCTGAAGGATTCCAATTCCTAATTCAATGTGTCTTCAGTGCATATACGGTGGAATCTCATTGCAAGAGAGGCGAAGGGATTTCTTTCTCTACTCATTCGGACAAAACTGTGATAGTTTGTCGGCTATCCATTCCAATTCGGCTTGTGGTAGATTGATCTTTGTGGGCTCCCATCTGATCGCCTAGTAGGCTGGACATCTATGAAGGATAATTTACCTTCTGGTTTAACTTCAATTTTGAATTCAACTTACTGATGGGCGTTGTTGAAGATTTGCAGGATTTTGTTTAGATCAGTATTTTCAACGGTGATGATAAAGATATCATCCATATCCCACTTTTAAACTTCGAACTGTTCGATTGTAGGTAGGTGGATATTTGACTCATGAAGCAGTTGGCGAGCATCATGAAGTTTGAATTCAATGTAAGTGAATGTTTTCTGTATGCAAGCGGTGGTTAAGAAATTGTCATTATATATCAGCTTCAACTACTAAACACCATCGGATATCAGATTCATTCGGATAATTGAAGAAAAAGCAACTGATGTAGACCTGGTCACGAACCAACACCACTTACAGATCACTGAAAATCAGGGAGTACTGAATAGCTGGTTTGTTCTAGTTTGAGATGCTTTAGTGGTGCACACTCACAAATCTACCAAGGATCGAAGCTCGTAGCCTCAAGTTACGAGGCTATGCTCGTTGTCCATTCAGCCAGTTGGAACAGAATTCAGTGGCTCGTGGAATCTAACTACTATCAGTTCATGATATAGCGCCACCCATAGTCAATACCTTCGATGAGCATCACTTCATAAAGTGATAGTCGTGAGAATTCACAAGCGAATGAATTTTGTCCCAAGTGCGTGAATGGTCAGTGGGTTTGGCTCCGTTAACAGGTTCAATCCGTGGTAAAATTTTGGGTATGCACTGATGATGAATTCAACAGGACGAAACTGCTGTCCATTGCTCCCAGATTTCCAATGATTTCCAAGTCTTGATGGTTCGTGACTATTTTTTACACTCAAATTAATCCAAGTCCCTACGAATACCCATAATACATAGGAACCAAAACCAAATTTTCTGTAAAATATTTTATCTTGTCTAAGTGGAATAATGAAGCTTAATTTTCTTAAAATTATTTGCGTTTGTCTTTGATTGATTATATTGTGTGGACACTTCCTGTCTCTGCCGGCATGTTAGCTCCTAGTATGGACGCTTCAAAGACAGCTGAAGATTAACATGATGTTATTTTGCTTAATGGTGACTAGCAATGAGATCCAGGATACTCATTTTATCCTATTTGAGACTTCTCAGTTAAATATACCTGCATCCTGAGTGACTTTTCCCCATTGAGAGTCAAACACTGCCATTCAGCAACAACCAAAATAGCGCCATGTTGAACTTCAGGCATCGTCAAAGCGTCTGTACTAGGAACTGATATATTTACATGAAACAAATATGTTCAGTCTAACATAATCATGCAAGGGGAAATGTAAACTGACTAAAACACAATAATAACTGTTATCTGTTACACAAGGCGGTGGCTGTCGTGACCTGTCGGCCTAGATGATAGTGCTTTGGCGTTTGGAACAATGGGTGCAGGACTCGAGTCTCAATGGGAACATCAATTTTCAGATACCTCCAGAAGACAAGTCCTGAATGAGACGAAATGTTCGTCCTGAATTCCACAGCTAGCAACCACCGACCAAAAGTTCAGAAATAGGACTTGTCGAACTGGTAATCACAAACAAAATATCTATTATTCTAAAACGGTTACTTCTAGGACGTAATATGACATAATTTACTTTTCTTTCGTAGTTAGTGACAGAAATTATTCCTTTAAAGTACGAAATCTCATGCATATTAAATATACCTTTGTACCAAAGAATCTGGAGTTAATTGCATAATAATTCCTTCCAAACGTTCCCCTCTTCTTGTGAGTACATCACATCTACTTAATGATGATAAAGCCTCAGAAAATCACTAATGTAATGAACGATAAAGAGCTGAAATTTTCACTGTATATAAATATACTTCAAACCAAGGAATGAGTAACTATTCCAGGACAGAAATATCCAAAAAGAAAGGCGTACAGATAATTTTTATTAGATGTAAGTAATAACTAACTTGCCATTTATGAAAATATACTTAAAGTGTTTAATTCGAACTCATCTTTCTCTGCAATAGTGAATGAATTCGCTGAAGAAAAAAACACTGGGAATCAATTTTATGTATTCCGAGAGGTAAAGCAACTTGTTAATATGCATTCATGTTCAATTAACAAGCCAGCAGTCTATTTATGATATATGCATCTATAGAGAGAATTTCAAATGCTAGATATCGATTTTTCAGGCAAAATTATTATCTAATGTACCACCTAGTCAACTTTGAGAAGTTTGTTATGTAGACATCGCCTTGTTAATTCATAGATAGTTATGTTGTTGTCGTGTTAAATAATTTAGTGAGATAGATGAACAATAATGATCTAATTATTTTGATGTGTATTGCATAAGATGGTTATTTACATTTTATAATATGAAGTGATTTTTATTGTAAATAATTCCCAGTGACTCAAATGGTATTTAAAAAAGCTTCAATTAACAAGAAACGTTCACACTCTGAACCATCATCCAATCCTTCTGCCAGTGAAACATCATTCACACAACATACATTAGTAAAATGCACATCATCCCAAGAAATAAGACCTGGAAGATCACTTGAAATCGATATAACAATTAGTTTTGAAAAACGATGCGTTAAAGGAGCTATTTCTGATATTCATATTGAAAGTTTAGTAGAAAGTTTTCAAGAAATTATTCAATGGTCAGTAGATATAGACCATGATATTGGAATTATATCAAGTAGAACTTATGTTACAATATCTCCTCTTATTCATCAACAATCATTTCAAAATTCTGATAAATATGAAACACAAGAAAAAAGTCATTCAACACAAGAAGATACTATAAAAGATGTAGTCAGTAAACCTGATTCTAAGAATCAAGTTGGTTCAATACAAAATTTACCAGAAGCAGAACAACAAGAGCAACTGGAATTCGAACAAAACATTTCTGTCTCAGTTGAGGATGAATATAGAATAATGTCTAGTGAAGTGGTGGGGAGAAATGATTCAAAAGAAGATAGTGCAGTTGAATCAACCAACCTGGTGCAGTTATCTGATATCAAATCACCTCTTGTATCAGGGGTTTCTGAATTAACAGAAGTAATCAATATGGAAAGTAAAGTTGATGACAAAGATTTCACTGCCATGGGTCTACAAACAGTCAACAAGAATGAAGTGTGCGAAGATTTGAAGTTGAACAGTGAGACTCACGAGGACTATGATGATGATCAACAACAACAACAACAACAACAACGAAAGGAACAGTCTCAACAAATTTTAAGTACCAGTGAGTCTGCTGAAAATTTAGAACATGAAAGTGTTGTGAATAATGAGATCCAAGCAACTTATACTCCTCAGTCTGTTAGCAGTGACTTGAAGGGTGGTGGTACAAATAAAACTGTTGACGAAGCAATCAATGATTACAGCAGTAGTAAGGAAAAATCTCAACTTTCAAGACAAGAAACGTCAGTATCACATCAAAAACTTGATGGAGAGAATGAAATACTCAATGAGGCTGGTACAGTTGCACCGAATGAAATCAAAGATAAAGCAGCAGAGTTTATTAGTAACAAGGACACACAAGAAAGTTCGCCTTCACATGTACCTAAGACATTTGAAGTAAATGACAGTGTAAAACCTATACAATCACCACAACAAATTCAGGTCAGTGATCAAAATAGTGAATATAAGCTGAAATCTGACAATGATTTACAGCTCCATTCATCAACTCACACAACACCCTATGCACAACCTTACTTTGAAAATAAAACTGAAGCCTTCAACCAGTTTGTTGAAGCACAAGAAGAATCAGTGGCAGTTTATTCTGGGTCGATTGTATTTCATTCAACCTCTGTTATCTCTTTCACCATCACTGATCGAAAGCCAGGAGATGTGGACATGAAATTTACGGAAAGCAGTAAAGAATGGAATATTTTAGCTGTTGATTCAATACAGTCAGTGGTGTTAGACAGTTGTCAAATAAATAGTCAGATACCAATAAAACCAATTACTCATAGTGACAGCTATGCGGAGATTTCACCTAAATTACCCAACAATCAACTACAAACAGTGACAACACCTGAAACTTGTCCACCAACTGATGATGATGTTGCACAAATCGATGATACAGAAGACAGATGTTTAAAACATAAGGAACAACCTTCTACACATGAAGATGTTATTCAACAACAGTATAAAGATAATGAAGAGGAAATTCATACAAAAGAAGATGTTTTGAATGAGAAACTTTCCTTTAGAGAACCAACTGCTACACCAGTGAAGAATGCTGAGTTTGAAACAGAAATATCAGAACCACATGAAAAAATAGTTTATGGAGCAGGTATGTCTGAAAAAGATGAAAGTGACAGGGAATTAGGCGAAAAAACAGATAAGGATAATACACATAAAGAAGAATTTACATCAAAACAAGAATATACTATAATTAATAAAGATGAATCAAGTCGTCATGATCAGCCTCATCTGGTTATCGAACAAAAGTGTTCAAGCCTCATCAGCATTTCTCTTGATCTACCCAAAAAAGCGATGTTACCTACAATCATTTCCACTGATTCATTCGCAGTACCTGATATCACTCAGGCACCTCCAACATTTGCCGAACAGCGTACACATCAGAATATAGAAACAGATAGTACTCATTTGGCTGAAAGTGAAAAGTCAAGTAATTTACGTTGTAATCTAACAACTGATCAATTACCTGAAAACCAAGAGGTATCTTATTTGCCAGTAGGCAGTGAACTAGAAATTTCCAAATTTACTCAACTCAGTATCCATGGGCAAACAACAAAGGCAACTGAACCTATCGATGTTGAAACGATTGTGTCTAAAAATGAGTTACAACCAATCATTGAACAGAATGTAGTCTCTTCAAGCAATAAATTAAATCAGTCAGAGATCCCTATGGTTGCAGAGCAAACGGATACAAGTAAACAGTTAGAGTCTATGGAATCGGAAGATAAGGCAGAAGATATTGAAATGCAGAAAGCAGACCAAGTTGATTTGAAGAATGAGGAGAACAATCTATTGAAAATACCCACCAGCAATAAGTCTAGTTGCAATCAGCCCTCGGCGCTTGTCATTGCCACTACATGTTATAAAGAAGTAGATTCGACTGACGTTCGTTCTGAAAGACCGATTAAAAAAATCCAGTTGTTTACAGTTCAAAGCCATGTGGAAACCTCTGAAAGTACACAACATTTCCAAAATATATCAACCTTTAAGTATTCAGAATCCAGACAGTCAGTAGATATGGATAAAGCTGAAGGAAAAAGGAACGATGAAAAATGTGATGATGATGGCGTTGATGTATCAGTCGATGAAGATTATGAATTGCCAAACAAGGAGGTAAATATTGAACCTTTAAGTTCACAGTTTACACCAGTTAACATGCCAATCCAACAGATGGAAGCAGTGGATTTAATGAAAATTACAGGTGATTCACACGAAACTGAGTTGCAGAAGTCGATTGTCCCCTCTGAAAGTGATATACTTGAAACTACTGTTCAACTAGAAATTTCAGTATCTATAGGAAAAACAGATAAGACGAATAGCATAGAGTCGGTTTTTTCAACCGAAAAAATTATGTGCAACGAACAAAAACGCTTAACACCTGTATCACTGAAAAGCCAAGAGCAAGAGCCAACCTGTAAGCCTACCAGCATAATACCTACAGAAACACAGTTAAAACCACCCAAAACTTTATCTGGAGAGTTTCAGGTAGTCACTGTACCAAATGTCGACACCTATTCACTGAAGCAAGAATCCAAATCCTCTTTTGTTTCACAAAATTCACAAGTAAGCTTGGACAAATACAAATTCACCACGATGAGTACTGTAGAACAAGTTGTTTCTAAAGAGCAGGCAGAAACTTTAGCTACACTAAAAGGTACAGAAAGCACAAAATCCTCAGAACTTAATCCTATCAGGACAACAGTGAAAGAGAATGTTTCTGACAGTGGAGTGAAAAGCCATCATCCAACGCCATACGACACTGCTTTCAAAGATACACAGTCAGAAGATTCCATGAAAACTGCCTCCAGTTCACTTCAAAAAGAATTAAATGAAAGTGTTGAACAAAAGAAATCTGTTGTTCACACCAGCTCAAATCAAACAGATGACAAATCCTTAGTATTAAATTCAAAAAATACAGACAGCAATCAGGATTCAAATCTTCCCATATTTTCTGATCATGAAGGTCTGTTGACTGTTACTGCTGCTGATAAAATATCAGAGAAAGCCAAATTTGCTGATACATCTATGAAAGTCGATAAAGATGACGAAGAGAATAAGCTTCCAGAAAATGTCAGTCAGCATGGGACAGCATCTATTCTATCAGCTGAAATGATTAAATCAAGCCTTATAACTACTGCATCTCTTTTTTCAGTGAAATGGAATACTAGGACTGATCCTCAAATACTGACAGATAATAATCAGCTTATAACAAAATTATCCGTCCAGTTTTCAGATGAAAATAAACTAGTAGACTCTATTCAAGTGGATGAAAGTACCAAACCTGAAATGACAACCAACCCAGCAGAATCATCTTTAAACATATTATATGATGATAAGTCTGAAATACATCAAAGTTTATCGCTTGATGTTTCTACGAAACAAGATTCACAATCACTGAGTAAAAATTTACAGGATGGTTCCACTGAAAAAGTACGTATGAATAAAAAAGACCCATCAAAATTTGTTCACCAAAAAGTTTTGGGTAACTCCTCTCTTGTGTTTCACACGGATCAACATGAAACTAAAGCTTTCCCATTGGAGGCAAATGAAGTTTCCACATCATCTCGTAGTAGAAATCAGGCTGATTATTCTTCACCCTGGTTGAAAAACATTCCTGACAATAACAAGCCTTCACCTTCTCCACCTAATTCACAAATACAAAGCACATTTCCTGAAATATGTAAAAGCAGCAACCTAAAGGCATGTTGTTATTGTTGTCAACCATCAAGAGTTCATTTGGTTTGTCACTGCTACTGCAGTCAACATCATATCAGTTCAGCATTTCCCAATTATTGTCAAACCAATACGCGTGCTAAATCAATTTCATGTTCAAATTTCCTTCACTGCAACTGTCAAATGACACCATGTACTTGTGATTATACTACTACTGTTAATGATGACAATCAGTATATTGAACCAGTGACCTGTTCATTGAAACTTCAGCTTGTTAAACCAAATAGCCAAGAATGTCAAACTATAACTTATGAAAATCCTACAGATTCAAATTTAAAAATGCAGTGCTTATCAAAATCAAATCCAACAATATGTAGATGTGTCTCACCACGGACTGTTTATTGCTGTTGTTCACAAATATCTAATTCTACTATTTCTATTTATTGTAATAGAAATCCACATCATAGGAATACTACACCTTATCTTAGTGCATCAATATCTCAAATAATACCTGGTCATCAATGTTGCTGTAATAGGCGTATTCCAAAGAAACACGAATGTGCTTCACATGTACACGGTCATTTAAAACAACCGCCTAACAATTTCTACTGGTCATAATTTATTTATCTCCACTTGAAATGAGTAGATTACAGCAAGGAGGAACAAACACAAATATCAGGAATCTGTGCGATTTTCTGGTACTTTTATTTCTGTATTTTAAATATGAGTTGTAAGTTTATCTTTTCAAAAAATAAGCAGGGAGAAATTCTTTTGTTTCAATACTTATCCATGCTGTAATCACTCAGCGATTTCGAAATAATCTCACAAGAAAGAATGACATGAGAAGAAAGAATATACAAATATATTAAAATCGTGGCAGGTTTCTTAGTATATAATTATTTATTTATTTATTTCGTATGAATATGATATTTCTTTGAGTACTCTGAATAAGGTATACGCCAGCGGTTCAATGTTGCCCAGTCAACTCACAGGTCCAGGTTTGATTTCCAGCTGGTGTACTCTGGAACTGCACCTGATTTACCAGCTGACAGAAAGTCTGAATAAGTGTAAAGGTTGACTATGAGTCTAGCAATCTTACCTCGTAGAAAAATCTGTAGCCATATTTGAGCATAGAACCTATTGTTTCAAATACTAAATCATTATTTATTAACCATTGGAGGCATTTCTAGCCTAGTGGGTATTAAATTGTTGTTGTTTTTTGTTAAAATTGAAGTTCCCACAAAGAAAAAAAATGAATGCTTCATAGAAATCTTTAATTATTGATAAATATATAGAATCAGATTGGAAGTAAAGGGAACAGAAATTAATCACTTGAGTTGTTACATCCGTTCATGAATGAAAACATTAGATATCTTCTTATTATCTACACGGTAGTCAGTCACATTGAAGCTATAAAGTGTTATGCACGCTCAGATACCACCTGTCTCAACACAAACAACGAAAAGAAGAAGTAGGGCGATTAAAACAAAACATATCGTCGATCCATGAAGTCTTTACTTATTGATTTTAGGCATATATGGAAGTGTAGACTGTGTAACTGGGTTTCTCGAGATAGGGGTTGAGACTGTTAGTGATATGGCTCGAAATCGTCCTCATTGGCGCAGATGCATTTGATTTTTTTATATTCAGCTAAACTGATTAAGTCCTAATGTTTCTCCATGGATATATTTTCGTTTATTCTAGTTGCTTTGTATTTGTTTCTTTCCTATCTTTATGTGTACTTTTGTGGTGTACATCAACTCGAACTACTGCACATTTGTACAAAGTTCTTCAGTCAAATGGTAGTACTTTGAGTTTTTGTAAAGATAAAAGACTAATGGGTAGTAACTTCCAATTAAAAGTTGTAATTTAGGCAGTAATTTAGTGATAATATAATATGCACCACTGAAATGAGTTAAATATAGGTATAGTGTAGTACTGCGATTGTAGTGTGGCGTACCATTCTTGTTATTATTACACTTTGTTTCCGAAAATTATATTTATGTGTAAGAGCAGCACTAATTCAACAGTCCTGAGGTTAGAATTTAAATTTTAGATATAGTGAACAAATCAGTATATAGGCTTATGAAGTTACACCAGTTAAGATGAACAGGATGTATAATGTGTGTATGTATGTATTATTATTGTTGTTTCCTTTAATTCCTAGAGGAACATAGGGCTTCAACCGTGCATCTCCATTGCGTTCGTTTCTCTGCTAGAGTCTTCACCTGGCTCCAAGTCTGCCCACACGCTTTCATCTCCTCTTCACATGACCTCCTCCAAGTCACCCTCACGCTGACGACCAACTCACCACTTCCCTTTCGGGTTCCACTCGAGCAATGGCTTGTCTAGTGATGTCACTTGATGGTTTCCTAAGAGTATGTCCAATCCATCTCCATTTCTTCCTGCCTATTTGTTTCACAACCGGTTCCTGCTGAGTTGGTCGCTCCCAGAGATCTCTGTTGCTGATCTTTTCTGACCGGCCATCTGATCTTGAGTAGTATTGAGCGAAGACAACTGTTAATGAAGGTCTATAGTTTGTTTAGGATGCTCCTTATGACGCGCAGTGCAAGTCTCTGATCCGTTTTGTGAGTAGCACTGACTTCATATTGGAGTTGAAAATCCGGATCTTATTTTTGATGCTGGGTGTTGTTGACCTCCACACAGACTTGAGAGTAGTGAAAGCTTGTCTTGCTTTTCCGATTCTTGCTTTGATATCCTCGTCAGTTCCGTCAGCCTGTAGTTGAAACGATGCTTCCCAGGTAGGTAAAAGAGGTTGTTTCTTTCAGGTTCTTTCCATTTATGCTGATCGTTGTCTGTTGTCGTTGTTGCTGTTGATGGTGTTGGCCTGGAATCTTCATCAACTCTGTTTTCTCTATGTTCACCTGAAGGAATTCCTATCTTTGATGCTTCTTCTGCCAACTTGTTGCTTTTCGCTTGCATATCTTCCAGTATAATGTATGACCAACCACTATCTAAATTAATATTTTATGCCAGGTGAGTTGACCTATAATTTCTAATTGACGATAAACACATTTTTAAAATCCTACTTAGTTACCACTATCAGAATCTAGACATCGAAGTTGAGAAGCTTTTGAGCAAACAACCAATTAATGAATTGAGTAGTGATGTAATTAGTCGATTTGGTGGTGAAGCATTCCGGATAAATGTTAAAGCTCAGAAAATAAAAAACGACTGTCATTATCTTGCTGAAGCTGGTTTATCTGTCATGCGATTGCAGACTGATGTTGTTGTTGTTTTTTGTCGTTGATATTTTGACGTTGTTTAACCATAGTTCAGACCTTTTTATCCTGATGTTTATATGTTTGTGAGAATAAGTGACTGAGGAACTGACGTAGAATTATTTCTAAAGTACATTAATTAATACAAGTTGCAAAATTAAATGACAATCGCAGGTTTTAAAAATCTGAAAGACGTTAAAGAATGAACGATGCTTAGTCATGACATAAGCATCTACTCTTAGCAACTTGAGGACACCATCCAGGTAATCTACACCTACTAATGTGGCTTAGGCTTGTAGATAATTATTTTCAGGTATTGATTTTCGGTCTTTTTATATCTAGCCATTTTTCAATTCTTAATTCTACGGAAGTCAATTTTACTCACCAAGGAAAACTGTGAATCAGCATTGGTAAAGTGTATTACTTATCTTATTCAAGTAATATACTGCAATATTTAGGAGAATGGCTGTGTTATAATAACTATCAGTTCCATCTGTCTAATGCATGTCAGTGAATGAATGTATCTATAATCTCAAAAACCTGTAAACATTTCTCGTTCATGTTTATACAACATGTCTAATAAATATATTTTTTTGCATTACTAGCCAACAGATAACATTCTTAATACACCCCAGACAATGATAAATTAACACATCTGCACATATTAAGTTGAGGATATGGACTATTTTGGCGTTTCCTGGCCTTTCTGAGAATACGTAAAACCATAATCTATCCTTCAGACAATGAACAGAACCAGGTGTGTTTATTGATGAACTTAATATGCACCTCTACTTCTGTAATACTAATGTTTAAAATTAATAAGCGATCTATTATTATTATTATTACAGCTCGATTCCACACAGTATTTTGGTCTAAGTATGGAATTTTCAGCATGTGATATCGATAGCCCAAATTTAGCAGGCCGACCATTGATATCAGGTTTGCATCGGCCGGGGATCGAACCCTGAACCCTGCGCATGGTCGGCAAGCGTCCTAACCACTGTACCACCGACGTACAGGACTAATCACACAGCAAAGCAGTATTGTGCACTGGATGACGTTTCGCAGAGAACTTACAGTTCATAATCATATCATTTATAGCTATACAAAAGCCCTGTTTTCCACTCGTAATAGTAAATATAACTACAAAACTACAAACTTTCATTGCGCCATGAGGGTAGTAGAATTTCGCAGATGTCATGGATAGATGTTGAATCATTTCCACTGTTGATTCGATAAATAAAGCATCTGTTATTAACTTACCCCAAACTCTCTTACATTAAATTTTAACGCCCTCATATTGTCCCGTCCTATTGTATTGTTGTATGCATGCAATTGCATGTTATGCTATAACTATTTTCTAAGTTTCCTATCTTATAAGAGTTAGCTAATCTAGATTTTTTTAAGGGTTTTTGTTCTCTTCTAGTCTGATTAACTCCGTCCTACTACTCTGAGCTATGTATTTGACCTGACAGTTATTCCACTAGGGTGTTAGATAAACTAAATTGTTTTGTTGAATGGACTATACAGGATCTTTTAGCCAACATAATCGCTTGTAAGCGAGCTTGTGAGTTTGAACACCACTTTTATTCCTACTTCGTTGATAATTCTGCGTAAAGTTTCAAGCATTTGTGAAAAATTATATTTGTAAAATCTCAGCGAGATTGAAATGAGTAATTCCAACGTTTCGTTCGGCAATCTGGTCCGAACTTCTTCAAGGAAATTAATCGAAATTAACATAACACAAATGTCTACTTCTCACTCGGCGCCGAAATATTTTAGAACTATTCTGTTAAATCTTGACGACAGTTCATTTGAATTTCAAGGATTTCTTTTTTAACTACACCTTTACTTAGCCATAGTGGGATATGTTCTCGAGCACGAAAAATCAAGTACCTAGAGCAACGGCCAATATAACTGGCTCCACAAGCTCAGTTGAATTGGTAGATACAATTTGAAGTGGCTAGTCTAGGTACTTCATCTTTCACTCGAGGTAGCACCATCGGTCTTGTAGACAATAATACATGTAGTTCGCCAGCATTAAAAGTTCTTTGAACTGATTTTCTTAATTTCTTCATAATTATTTCGCTTGATATATCGCCCTTGAATTGTAGTCGTATATATAAAGGCTTCTTGTTTACAGACAGTGAGTAGTCTTTTTCCGCTTTCTTTGTCATGTGTTTCTTGATAAATTTGTCAGGATAACCATTTTCGATCAAAGTATCATATACAATGCTTAATTCATCTTCAATTACTTCTTCTGAGCATATAGCTCTAACTCTTTGGCTGAGGGTCTTCACTAAATTTCTTTTGTAATTGATAGGAACGAAGCTGTGAAAGTGTGTATATTTCCCTGTCCAAGTGCTTTTTCTATGC